TAATCTTTTGAGACTATGCTATTTAGTGTTGTCTCTACCATGTGTCTGGCCACTTATGACCATTGGACCCTGCTCCTTTTACAAGTATTTTTGTGTTTCCCTAACTTTCGTAGAATAGGCCGACATGTCTCATCAAGATAAGGTCGACTACAGGAGAAAAAACCTTGTAGCAGCCATATATTGATAATGGATCATATTTTACTCTGAAAGATAGCATGCTCGAAGAAACGGTGAGGGTTTTATTAAACGCTATTTTATTCCCTACCTTCTCACCAGTTCGTCTATCTTCTTAGAAAGAGGGCCTGACTGAAAAATTATGGCATGAGAGGTCTTCGCTTGTCAGTTTTTGACTCACTAGACTCCGTCTGAAAATCTACTTTTTACTAAAGAGATATTATTCCCAATTATGCCACTGCTTGCTTACGAACTTACACAGTTTTGGTCAAGGCTTTTTCTTGGGTTATTAAGCTTTGATGAGCAAAGCATGGCATTAGCCTTTTTTGATCATCCTGATTTGGTACCAATGTTGTGTATAAACGTTCACAATGACATATATATATTTATATTTATATTTAGCGCACACTTAATAAAAAGTGGCGGAATAAACATGAAATATAATTAGCCAAACGATTATATATGTATATATGCCTGTTTATTCTTTTTTTCAATTATGAGTATATTTAAGAGATAGAGCCGAACAGTTTTCTTGACCTAACGTTAACCTAAGACTTTTATACGGATGAATTCCAGTTATGATGATGTTGATCATGTGATAAACGAAAGTCCAGTCCATTCTAATCCGAAACGAGGGAGGATATCTCATGGATTTGGTCAGGCGGGACATGGTATTAAAGCCAAAAGGCTTCAGTAGATAGAGAATCAACCGTCGTCTTATGGTAAATTCAGCCAACGAGTTTCTTCTTCATACACTTTCATATGGAATGTAAGTCTCATCAATATTGTTATTTCAGGAGATTCATCAGAGTCTAGTTACTCTTCGTATCTAAAGCAAAGCAACAATTTAAATATTTAAGCTCTAGTCGACATTTTACAAATCAAAATAGCAATAAATTCCGTTTTTATTATGACAAGAGATCCACTTCTGTATTAAATTCATAGAATTATGATACGGAGCTGTAAACTTGTAGCGTCTCAGCCAAACGCTTGACATCAGTCTATTTCTTTTATTGCTCTCAGTCATAGTACCAAACTGGCACTATTTTTCCCAAGCTGGCTCATTGAACCTCGACATAACTACATAGAATATTAAACTGATGTTATATCACCCAGCAGGCCATTCCCAGAAGGATTTTTTCAGTAAATACAACGCATTCGTGTTTCGTATACCCCCATTCACCATGCCATATAACCTACCAAAATGATCTCTTTGATCCAAACCAAATTAACCATTATAAATTCTTTAGAAGCAGCATCACATAATCTAATAAATTTGTAAGAAAGGCTCTTTGCTAAACCGATTTTCTCAGAAAGAAGACTACTGTGCGGCGTATGCGTATTCGCACACAGCCTCAATGCTGCATCGTCTCGTCTCAAACCAGCGCCTGAGAATATGTTTTACTCTCTGGGACCCAGGAGAGTCACTTTACAACAGCTCATGTCAACCAATCCAGCACTTCCACATAATAGTTCCTTGATAAGATTAAAATGAAGCTATTTCTATAAGCTTTTTTGTGCTTCTTATAAAGGTTCAAAATATCACTTAAACATTATAAGCCATAATAAGCTTCGAAAAATCAAAAAAAAGCATGTTGACCTCATATACGCAACTTGGTCTTGTTGTCAAGACGACTTAGTTTGACGCACCTTGTCCGAAGTCCTCTAACATAGCAGTAGCCATAATACCCAGCACCAGACCGTGGACTTAGTACAGTCTCAGGTGTTTCGCCAGCATCGTAATCGGCAGTATCAGTGAGTCTTTCCATTCTCTGCACCAAGCCACAACTCATCAGAGACAAGTGAAGAAAATTTCTTGACCGATATACTGCCAAAACGGTTACACCTTCCGTCCTCTATCTACCCTGGCCCTAGCTATCTACTCCTTTTCCTCTTAGCACACTCACGCTCTATAACAGCTTTGACTTGTATAAATTCCAAAAAGGTGTGCCCGTTGTGTCAATTTTAGTGTGGCCTTATCCCACCTGCTGTTCATATTGGCCCTCTCTACTTCAATCGGCTAATCCAACTCAGGCCTTTTGTTTAGATCTCCTTCATGGTCCTTTATAGTAGAGAGATAGGCAGGACAGAAAGAAAGCTGATAGTACAACCGTTTTGTCAGAAAGTTGGTCGGAGGATTGACTTCAATTATTTATTTGACAAATTGTAGCTTGGTGCTGAGAATGACAAAATTCACTGGCGATTCCGAAAATGATGCTGGCGAAACGTCTGAAAATTTATCAAGTCTACGGTCAGATGCTAAAAATTATGATAACTACTATTGCATAAGACTTCGGACAAGATGCGTCCAATTAAGTCGTCTTGATAGTAAGGCTAAGTTGCGTAGGCGAGATTAACCCATTTCTATGAATCAAAATGAAACTGCGACAATACCGAGGGAAACGTAATATTGGCTTTAATATCTTCGAGTAAAATAGTTACATTTATAAATTTTGCTATTAAATTTCGTAAATATTACATAGGGTCTTGCATACACTTATTCATAAATTCATGTTAATTATTTATCAAATTAAAACAAATCCCTGGATGGTGCAAATATTAGAAGCGATACTTGGCACAATTTGTCTAGTTTACTTCGAACTATACTATAGAAAATCCTGTAGGCAAGGATATTATGACGTATGAACTAGTATTACGAATAAAGGTGTATTAATCTTTTCAAGGGAAAGCCTTTAGAGTCAAGAAAGTTGAGAAATGGCAACAAAATATTGATGAATAAAAGAGAATATGCATATACCTCTTGATTTGTTAATAATATCGCTTAAGGCTTATTTAAATAATAAATTTAGTATTAATCACTAAATGTTAATTTAGTTTTTCTTAGCTTAGAGCTTTTAGACACTTTGTTTATACCTAGCTGCCAGCGCGCCTTCTAGTCCCTTCATCCTCGACCTTTCGTCTGCCGATCAATGTTGGAATTACTTTCCGTGAGCTCTCATTTACTCTCAATTTCGACGTAAAAGGGGATTTTATGATCAGACCTCCCTCTTTCTTATTTTCAGTGCTCAGCTGTCGTGCCCTTATTCTTGTCGGGATTTCAGCTGACCAGTGCAGAGTTTTGCGAGGCACAATACGTCAGAGCTCCTTAGATTATTCGGAGCTTCATTCCTTGCTGACTTGAGTTTGTTTTATTAATCTGGCTTCGAAAGTGTAATAAGTGTCTATACCTAGACAATTGTTTATATTACAAGTACAATTTAGGTGAGATGTGTTTTACATTATTTCGGTCTTGCCGCTCCACAAAATACCTATATTATCATTCATTTTAGCAAGAATGTCTGTCCTAGCCTCGCATGCCCCAGGTGATGTTGATGTACAGCCAACCGTCCGCCCTATCAATGCTTCTGACAATCTCGCCTGCTCCATTGCAGGATTCCCTAATCCCAGGACTGCTCATCTATCACTTACTTCTCCAATTTCTGACCATACATTACCTTTGGGAAGTTGTCATCATCTACAAGGCCTATCTCGCCCTCGTGTTTCGCGATGCTTGCACCAACCCTATGCTACTTTGATAACCTACAAAGCTGCGCGCTTTCTTATTACTGATCAGCCAAGTGACTCCAATATTGAACATTTTATAAGGGTGTGTCCATTGAGTCGTTTTATATTTAACGGAGATTTTATGATCATGTATAAGTCATGTATAAGCCAATCTTTATGAATGGCCTTACATCTATTTATTGAATTTAATTTTCCTTATTTAATTAGGATTGTTTTGAATCTAAGATTAGGTTAGATATTTGGTAGTTTGCATCCAATATGCCAAATAACTGGTCAAGTAATACAAATTTTATTGGGACTTAAGTGTTTTTCTATCTTCTGCTTGAGTTTTATTTTTATAAAGTGTATTTGCATTATCAACTGGTGTCTTAAACTGTATCACATAAGAGCACTAGTTATGTGAAACAGGTAAAGCATAGGAAACGCTCGATTTTTCAAAACTGCATCTTTTCTAGTATAATTATATTGCTCATGTGCTCATATAGAAATTTTCACATTTTTCCATCTTATTTGTTTCGTCACTTGATTTTTCTAAACCTAAAAGTCTTGTTTACCACTTCATGCTGACTTATTCTCTTTGTCTCACCGCTAGGAGTGTCGACTCCATCGTGTGCATAAGTTAGTCCGAGTCTGTGAACCAGAGTATGACAAAAGTCGTCTTGAGGCTGCGGGCATCGAAGTTGTGGTATGTCCTATCTTCTCATTATTGTAAAAATATGGTCAAATTGTCTCTGATTAGGAGTTAGGTGTATTATTGAATATGAATACTATCATCCTTTAATAGATATCCTTGACTATGTATGAGCCACTTAAGACGAGATTTTTATGATGTACCAGATCCTTTTTGTCCTCAATGTTCTAAATTAGTTGAATAAAATAACATTTATGTATTGTCTTAATATAACACATTTATTGATTTTCAAATCAACTCGATAAAAACTGGTGGTCATTAAGGACGTCCATATTTTTTCGATGGCCTACGCGGGGATGATTTCTCGCCCAACAATTTTCTCTTTAGTGGATAATATATTGTAAAAATGTCACCTAATGTCGTGCCATCTTTAGTTATATTTTGCTCTAATATTTGTTGAATAATATCTTCCCATTTGATGCCCCTCAGGTATCTGGCTGTTTTTCTTTCCTAATTATATTTTAGGACCTGGAGTATGGCGACGGGTCCTCTCCTCCGGAAGATATTATCGAACGCTGGTTCTATCTTATTTTGGACGGATTTCAACATAATCCACATTCTTGTATTGCTGTACACTGCAAATCAGGTCTTGGCAGGTGGGTTTCTTACTTAATATCTTTTTGTTAAGAAATGATTTGACTTTGTTTTTATTTCATTACTGTTGTATGCCTTTAATGAAAATCTTTATGCTATCAACATTTTTTGGGGACACTGTTCTGTAAGTGTTCTAATTTATGGCAAATTAAATTTCTGATTTGGTGCCGCCATAGGTGGCATTATCGAATTGTCTTCCTCTATTCTCCCGCTCACCTTCAAATTGGAGGTTAGAGTCATGCCTACTCCCACTAGGCTATTTCTAGTCTTGGCTATTGATGACTCGCTCATTTACTATTATATTTAACAAAACTAGCGACTTTAGCTCCCTCTCTTGGCCCATATCTCGTCATGCTATCCATCACATAATCGTAGCTACGCCACGATTATTTCCTTTTTCTCGACCCCTCTGCATCTTGTTCCACACTACATTGCGTATGCTCCTTTATCACCATTAGGATAATTTCTTGCTTTGGAAAATGCAGAATGCTATCTGAGTGCACGAATCCGTCTCGTGGATTTTCATGTTATTTAACTTTTTAATATCATTTGTTTTGTGATATTCAGGAGTTATATAAGTTTAAAAATTCCTGACCAATTTAGAATATCTCTGGTATGTGTATAGTTACTAATTATCAAAGGCCTTAACTCTTTCACTTTTAGGGCCCCAGCCCTGGTTGCTGTTGCTCTTATAGAAATGGGACTGCCTTACGATGAAGCTATTGAGACGATACGGGAGTAAGTTTGATTTGTTTTATTTATTCTGTTCTATTTGAATTAGTATTAGTGTATGCTTCGTGTATTTAAGTTATTGGATTCCGAGCACAGACTAAGGGCACACTTGTCTATTTCTTGTGGCTTCAAATCATGAATGATTGTTTGTACAGACTTTTCCTTTATTTCCAATGATTACTTACCTTGCTAGCCGATGGCTAATCGCTTTATTGTCTTAATATGGGGTAGTGATTGGATTTTGAGCATCACGACGACTTGTGGGATCGGCTCCCACCGAAGCTGATGTAAAAAGATTTAATAAATATGATTCGATAGGAATTGTAGATGTAGCCTGTGAATAACTATAACTAGACATTTCACTACGATGCATGTGCGCAAACGTGTCGCACGTCCCCCTCAGGGCATAGAAACAACTGAAATTCACAGACTAAACTTTTCAGGAGGAAACGCTGACCTTTATCCAAGATGCCCTGTTTCCGTATTTTCAGTCTGATAGTAACAATCGACCTGTGAGCCATTAATGATGTGTAGGGGATTCTTTCTACTCGATGTCAACATCTGATGTCCATGTAAGTAGTTTATTCTGTTTCACCCTCGAGGCATTTCTGTCTTCTGTACGAAGTTCAATATTGGTACTTATTTCTCAAACAAATGCCTCGTTTTTCCACTCATGGTGATTACTCATCTTTCCTTCTCACTAAGCTACCGCATCGGTTGCTTTAGTCATTGGTCCCTTATCCGTCATTCTACGTTGGCTTATTTTTACTTATTTGATACTCTTCAAAGTATATTAAATTGAATCG